TTTTGTATCTGTGTATTCAAAATGGTTAGGATAGATATATAGTTACATTCTCTTAATGAATAGAGGGATTTGTTCTAATAGTGTTTGTAAATAGGGCATCATGTCCGCATCTTGTACAGCAATTAACCACTAGGAAGATGTATGCAATGTGTTAATTATTGAAACTGTCCTACCAATTTGGTTTGAAACTGTTTCACTGCTATTTGTTTCTCAATAAATTATGGAAAAAAAATATTTTCCTTGCCTGTTAATGACAATATAAGTAAAATATATATATTAAATACAAAAACAGCAAAAAATTCAGAAAATGTTAGCAGCTACAAAACCATTCTAAAATATTAAGAACATCTAGTCTTCTAATTTTCTTGTTTATTCAATAAATAAAATGTAAAAGAGGGCCAGTGAGATAGCTCAGAAGACTAAGTGCCTGCTTACGCAAGTGCAGGGACCGGGGTCGATCTCCAGCACCACATGCCGCGATGGCCCTGCCCCTGGGCCCACTGAGCCAGCCGAGTCAGGGTGTGGTGCCCCTCATTTGTAATCCCAGCACTGGGGAGGCTGAAAACAGGAGGATCACTATGAGCCTCATAGTGAGACCCTGTACCAAATATATTAAAAAAATAAAATGTAAAGGAATATTCTATCTGGTAATTTAATCAACATATTCCACTAAACTAGAAAAGTAGTTCAAATCTAAAACATCAATGTATGTATTGTTTGTAGTATAATAAGTAATAAAATTAAGCACCACTACTTAAATAAAAAGATCTGTAAGAGATTTTATGATTAAGTTTGACATAATGCCTAATTCCCACATTTCTCAGAAAGATGTAAGACAGGTGATATTAAAATATATTACAAAACAGCAGTATTTTAAGGCAAAACAAAAACTATTTTTTAAAAATTTATTTATTTGATGGAGTCTTGCCACACAGTTCAGACTCATAGTGATCCTCCTGTCCTAGCCACCCTAGTGCTGGGATTACAAGTGTGTGCCACCAAGCCCAGGGTTCAGAGCCTGGCACAGCATGCAGTACTGGGTATCAAACTTGGGTCCTTGCACTTGCCAACCAGGCACTTAGACCACTAAGCTATCTTCCCAGCCCCGACAAAAACTATTAAAACACACAATACTTAGATTAAACTTACATCAAACCAAGCATTATAATTCCTCACAGATAAGGCAGAAAAGGAAATATATTATCTGATCAAAGAAAAGTATTTACCTTCACATGGAGAGTAACTTCTCAATTTAGGAAAAGCATTTATTATTATATTCTTTCACAAGATACAAATAAACTTTTCCCTGACCACACTATGAAATATGAGGCTCTATAACTTGTATCTTAACTCGAGGAACAATTTCTATTAGGAAATAATAATGCCTTCTGTGTTGAGATATTCTAACTTAAGCACAAATGCATGAAAGTTGAGCTGACAGGACTCAGGTCTTTCCACTCAAACAACAGGTACTATACTGAGCTTTAATCAAGTGTTTTATCAAAGTGAAGACACACTCCTAATCTAAACAGAGTTAGAATTCTGATCCTCTATCACGTTTCTCAAATGTCATCTCTGGGCCAGTGGCAGTATCCCCTGGCAACTAGTCAGTAAAAAATAATGGCTAGGTCCTACCTTTCTCACTCAGAGACTGTGGGAACTGTGATTACGATGCACATTAATGTTTCAGACCACACATATTAAAAAAAAAATGATCTGGGGGCTAGAGTTGTAGCTCAGAGACACAGTGCCTGCTTGGCAAGCAGAAGGGCCTAACTTTGATTCCTGGTGCCAAAAACATACAAAAAACCCCCAAAAGATTATCTTAAGAAAATGTAGGTGACCAATCTGTAATTTTATTATTTTTTTAATCTGTAATTTTAAAACCAAAAAAAAATTCAAAATATGAAAGCCACAAGAGTGTTTTTTTAAAGATTTATTTATTGTCTCAGCCTCCTCAGCAGCTGGGATTATAAGTGTGTGCCACCACCCCAGGTTTTGGGTGCGGCATGTGGTGCTAGGGATAGAACGCAGGTCCTTGCGCTTACAAGGCAGGCACTTAGACTGCTGAACTATCTCCCCGGGCCCACAAGAGTATTTATAGGGAGAATTAAAATTTCTTTTATTAACAAGAAACAAACTGCTCAAGTATGCAAATACATCTGTAATATATCATTCATTTCCCAAATTAAGATCCTAATTCTTCGCACAAAGTAGTATGTGAAAATTTTATTTTGATCTGAGAAGTGGAGAAAAAGCTTGCAATCAGCTGCTTCAAGTCACAAAGAACTCTAGCCTGTCCTATTAAAAAGGAAAATAAAATAAAAAAAATCAATAGGAATATATATTATAGGCTAATAACAAAATGTATCTTTTGTAGTTATATAACCACCACCCCAGTAACAGCTATTTGGTATTATCTTTATAAATGCTGAAAAAATATTCAAATAAATAACTATTCAACTATCACAATAGTCACTGCTCAAATGCAAATTTTTCTTGCTGTTCTGCTCAAGATAAAAATGTCAGTGGATTGTTACTTTTCTGTTCTCTGAGTAGTAACTCCAGAGAATGTTATTTTAAGTTAAATTTAAATGAGTTCAAATGGCAAACCATATTAAAGTTAATATACCAAATTTAGGTGTTTGTGATGGGGAATACAAGTCATCACCAATTACTTCTGGGGCCGGGGAGATAGCTCAGTAGAATAAACGCTTGCCTGGCAAGTGCAAGGGCCCAAGTTCAATCCCCGGTTCCACGGGAAAAAAAAAAAAAAAAAAAATTACTTCCATATTTGCCATTTTAAGAAAGATTCAAGATACTTGAATTCATTAATGCTTATTATTATTTACTTTGACAGAATTTCCTTGCCTAAGATATTCTCTAACACCCTGCTCCCAGGTTTTTCTACCTCAGGTTTTTCTATCTTGTTTACTTGTACAAGGGAAGAACCATTCTGAACAGCATATTTCACTTACTCCCAAAGTACTGAAGCAAAGCCTTAGGGCCAGTTTAAAAAAGTTTTGTTCCCAGTGATTACCCTGTGATCTCTCCTGAGAAGATCTGACTCCAAACTGAACTTCCAATCTGTCACCTACACACAGCTACTCTCTAGTATCATCAAAGTCAGAGCAAAACACTTTAATATATATATATATATATATATATATATATATATATATATATACACACACACACACAAATAGATGTATAAATTTATATGTATACATATATATATTTATATTTTGTACAGGATCTCACTATGCAGCTCAGACTTACAGTGATCTTCCTGTTTTTAGCAGCCCCACTGCTTGGCTGGGATTACAGGTGTGTGCCACTACCCTCAGTCTCAAAGGTGGCCACGCCCAGGGGCAAGGCAGCATGATGATACCACTTTTTTAATTTTTTGGTGGGGTTTGGCTGGCTCAGCTCACCCTAGGGGCAGGGCTGGCAAGGCATGTGGTGCCAGGGATCAAACTGTGGTCCTCATGCTTGCCTAACTAGGTGTTTTAGCCCTCTGAACTATCTTGCCAGCCCCTTTATCTTGTTTTCTGCGCTGTCCAAGCCGCCTCCCCACCTCAGCCTTTCAAGTAGCATGGATTACAAGCTCACACTACCATGTCCAGCTCGTAAAATGTATTAATTTCTCTCTACAGAAGCACATAAAAGATCTCCAATTAATACTTGTTTTTGGAACCATTTTTACTTGTAATTTTTACATAGATATTCAAATGGCTAGGAAAACATGCAGGGTGTTATGGAAGTAAAGATGATGTCTAAGTCGACCTAGCTTTAATTTACAATAGTTATTTTCCCAAAGCTCACACATACAAAATGAAAAAGTACCCTGAAATTAGTTTATTTCACAGATGTTCTTTCAGATCGGATCCAATTCACTGGCCACCAATTTTAACTAAAATTGTTCTCTTACCAGTATATGTAGTAGTACTCATGCATGCTGTAGAGTTCCAACTCAAAGCCACTTAGAAGATACTGTATCATGATTCGAAGGTTATGATAAAGAACCCATGTCCCTAAACAGGCCAAATGTTGCCTTTGGGGTTCTTGCTTCAATAGCATAGTGTGAAGCGCTGCATCAACCTTTTCTGCCTATAAAAATAAAATGTAAAATTGATTTTCTTTTAGGTAATGGAGAATTTTAACATAGAAACAGAAAAGTTGGTTATGGTGGGGTTCCAGCACCTGTAATTCCAGCACTCTGGGAGGCTGAGAGAAGATCACAAGCTCAAGCACTGCTAGGACAACTGTGCAATTTAATAAGACCCTGTCTCTAAAAAAATAAAAAAGGATTGATACAGCTCAATCCCCAGTAACATCACCATCACTACTACCACCAAAAGGGGGCAAAAGAGTCAAACCTCATCCCTAAAATGAATCTTACTTTCAAGTGTATATTACGTTTACATGCAAAGTTATTAATAGTTAATGATTTTTAAACACTCCTTATAGTAAAAAAGACATCTACTTTAACTAAAAATATATAAATGACTAAAATTCTTCAGTTATAACATTTAATATTACAGGTGCTACTCACAAATTAACTTAAAGTGAATATATTGTTACTACAATGTAAACTTGCTTTATAGTTCCAAACACATTTTATGTTTTCTCTTGATTATCAAAAAATTTACCATATTTATCAGTTTGGATTATATTTCTGATTTTCTCATAAATTCTTCTTTGGTATATGAAACCATTAAATATTAAGTGAAAAGCAAACTCATAATGAAAAATTAAATATTTAAAATACTGTTTCAAACAATTGTTTTTAAAAATATAGACAAAGTGTATGAATTACTTAATTTTAGAAAAAACGAAGCTGGCTCTTACCTCATCCTGCAAGGTAGCAAATTCCTCCAGAATATGCCCAAGCTTATCTCTCTGCCGAGCCCGGTTATGTCCGTGGATCTGAATAAGACTACAAAATGGCTGGAACACATATACAATTTGTTCACTGTCAATGTGGAAATTTGCTTAAAGAACAACATTCCAAGTTCTCAAAATCTGGCTTAATGGAAAAGATACTGCATATATAAGAATCATGCCTAAGCAGTGTTTTTTTCTTCCTAACACAAACGTTAGCTTTTCAGTAACTCAATACCAGCATTTAGTAACTAGAAAAAAGTGGCTAAGTGGCTATTTGATGAACTTGTTTTCATACAGCAAACATATCTTCTTCAATCTTTAGTTATCTTCTTGTAATCTCAAAAGGACAACTTTCTGTTCGTTTTAAGCTAAAAGTTAACATTCAAGGCTAGTGTTTCTGTGCCATTTTAAATATTCTAGAATGCCCAACTGTTACTTGGCTAAGACCTCTAAACCTTGACTTTGACTAAGGTCCAGCTAATACTATTCTACACAAAGTATTCTCATAAAATACTGGAACATTTCATTAATTAGGCAATAGATGTGAATGACAGGGTGCTCTGATTTATGAAGTGTGAATAACACAGTGCTCTGTTTGTATACCTTGACAGATACTATCTCATTTGGTCAAAAATTACCCTAAAAAATACACAGAAGAGGTACAGCTTCAGCATCTAACTTTTATACAAAAATTCTAAGCTCTGAAACACTTTTTGTTCTCAGCATTTCAGGGAAGGGATCCTCAACCTGTATAGTATCTCACCATAGAGAATGAGCAGAATATACAGAAGTAAACCTGAATCAATGATAAGAACCACATAAAGCCTGTATGGGAGAACCCACCTCTAATCCCAGCACTCTGGGGGTTGAGGAAGAAAAATAGCAAGTTTGAGCCCAGTGCAGTTTGAAGTGATTATATTGAAAACTTGATAAAAAAAGAGAAACAGAAAGAAGTGAATAAATCAGGTCTTTTATTTTTTTTGGTACTGGGAATCAAACTCAGGACCTAGTACTTGCCAGTCAGGTGCTGTGCTATTGAGCTATATCCTTTTATTTTTCACCCTATAGGTCTTCTGATTTTCCTACACACTATACATTCCTACAAATATTCAGTAAATAGCCTTATGCCTCAAAGAAATGCCTGCCTGAATTCTCTAAGATAAATGTTTACATAATAACTTTCATGTAATTCAGATGATTAATGTAATACTAATATAAGCATATAGAACTGTTATAAATATTCTTTATAAGGTCAATAAAAGTAAATTCTTATGTCCATTAAGAAAAAAAAAAAACAAAACCAAGGTAACAACTGCTGCTTTACTAGATAATGGCCATTCTCCCTCCCAGCTAAGAAATCCAAGGCAACCTCTGTTATCTACCAACTTGCCAGGAAGGCTGCATGGTACAATGCCATCCACTGAAGGGCTAGGAGACACTATTTGTTCATTTCTTCTATGTGAATAGTTGATGAACAAAGCATAAATTAATAATGAATGAATTACCTCCCCCCAATTTTGCAAGTGTCTATCACAACACTGCAAATTATAGTTCTTACCCGAACACAGTGAGTAACAAATGAGTCAATACAGTCCTTAGCCTGGTGATTATTATATAGGCAGCACCTGTAAGACATTAGTCACTTCATTAAAGTCAAAGTACCTGGCTTAGATAAAAGGAGCAGAGATTACTACAGATGCTATTAGAAGAGAAGATGCGAAAAGGAACCAAGTTGAAGACTGAGCATCATAGTAAGAAGTACCTCACTACTTCAGGGTTGTTTGCATCTGTTGAGTGGGTGATTATCTCCATCTCTTTAGCTCTATACTGACAATTCAGTTTAGGTCTAGCAAGACCACACAAGCAAGAGAAAGCCATTCAAAAGCCCCTACCTTTCCAAAACCTCCTCTAGTGTCACATATTTTTAAACAACCAATTACTTCATGTATTCCTAAGAATAACTGCAGGGCCAGGGAGGCAGCTCAGCAGCATAAGCGCCTGCCTGGCATGCTCAAGGTCCTGAGTTCAATCCCCGGTACCACAAAAAAAAATAATTAAAAAAAAAAAATGCAAAGGAAATACTACAGAGAATGTTTTTAAGCGTACGTCCCCATTTCCAGTCACTGGCTATCCTATCCCAGCATACTCCTCTCACAGTGTACTTTCTGTCCTTAAAAGGAGTCTCCTTGCATGTTCCTTATCCAACTCAATAGCATTTTTTCCAATGCTAGGTAGTCATGGCCTCTTGCATACTAGCCATGTGATCTAACATTAATCTATACTCATAACCTTTTTCTTAAGGCAGAAAGCTGCCAAGGAGCTAGCACAGTGGCATAAACACCTGCCTGGCAAGCACAAGGTCTTGAGCTCAATCCCCAGTACAAATAAAAAAAAAAAAAAAAAAAAAGGCAGAAAGCTACATGTATGCTATGGGGAAGTATGATTGGCGGAGTATTTTGTAAAAACTTTTTTCCAGTTAAAATTTTGTGAAACTTGACCTCTAAAATGCTGTGGATTTTATGACTGAGAATTAAGCATAGAAATGTCTTTGAATCATATATATGCTATACACACCACACAACAGATTGTTAAATTCTTAAAACCCACAGGCACTTCTTATGATCCCAGTTTCTACTGGGACAGGAGAAAAATCTGCTTAGATTTGTTTAAAAAGTAATTTTAAAATAAAAATTTCTTAATGTTAAATTTTTTTTAAAAGAAATTTCTGATGAGTCTCTCCAAGTTGTCTAGGCTACCTTCAAACCTTGGTATATTATCCTTTTGCCTCAGCCCTCCAAATAAGCAGGATTATAGCTATGTACCACCTCTTTTTTTGTCTTTTTGAGACAATATCTCACTATACAGTTGAGGCTCATTTTCCACGTCAGGTTGGTCTCAAACTAGCAACGATCCTCTCGTCTCAGCCTCCAGAGTGCTGTGGTATAGGAGTGCACCACCACGCCCAGGTGTACCCCTTCTTGACAACTGCTTCCTGAGCATTTCTTCTTAAAGATCTGCTTCCTACCCCAGGAAAGCTGGACAGCAGATAGAAAGTTTGTTGTTGATTTTTCCTTTTTTAACTATCTGTGAAGACACCTTTTTTTTTTAAGACAGGGTTTCACTATCCAGTTTAGGCCAGCCTTGAGCTCACTATATAGTCTAAGCTGGCCTTAAATTTGTAGAGTTCCTCCTGCCTCTGCCTCCTAAGTGCTGGGTGATGGGATTGCAGATGTGCAGCACCACACCTGGCTCAAAGACTTTGAGATTTTTGGGTTCTTTTATTTATTTATTCTTTTTATTTTTAGGGAAGGGTCTACAGAGTGTTCAGGGTCTCACTACTAGATCGAACTCATAGTGATCCGCCTGTTTACAGCATTCCAACAGCTGGGATTATAGGCGCACACCACCATGGCAGGCCCAGGGATTGAATTCCTGGCCCCTGCATGCCTACTTACAGGCGCTTTAATGCGTTGAGCTATTTGGCCGGCACTCAAAGACTTTTTAAAAAAGAGAAAGAGACTTTCTTCTGGTGTCTCCATAGGAGGTGATAACTTGCTACTCAAAGTGTTTAAAACTATGGCAAGAACCACAAAGATAAACATGGAATGGAAAATAAACCAGACGCACAGCAGGCGAAAAGGAAGAAAAAGCAGAAACCCTGCTACAAGAGATTGGCGAAATAAAAATTGCTGAAGAATATCTATATCTTTAACATTAAAGTACAAAATTTATTTTTGCACACTAAAATAAACCACCATTTAAAAAGATTTTAAAATACGTGTTTTATGTTATGCCTAAGATGTTTGATATTCAGATAGTGAGATTAAATTCAACTGCCTATGTTGTAGGGTAATAACAATAAGCTTCTCTTCTGGAGGGTTAACAAATTAAGTTTACAGACCAAAAATTAAGAGAAAAAGAAGGGCTGCAAGGACAACCAACATTTTGGCCCTGGCCTTTCAAGTTCAGTGAAGACTCAAGACATAGAAGAACCTGTACTATAACATCATGTAACTCAGTAGTGTCCCAAATTTTCTGATCAAGGAGATTATGGGGCCACAGAGGAATGTGATTGATGATGTAGAGTGTGCCTGAGGAGAGTCACTTGGAGAGAAAACAGTCTCTCAGGCTTTCACAGAGAGCAAATTGGTCAAGCAATGGCTGTGACTCATCCACAAGGCTGACACTGACAAAGGATCTACAAACTGTGGTACAGGGTTTCAGGATAAATCCTGAGGGGATTTGACTGACCTTATCAGATACAAAAGTTACATTTCTTGTTAAAGAATATTTTTTTTTATTTATTTGAGAGAGAGAGAGAGAGAGAGAGAGAGAGAGAGGGGTGTGTGTGTGGCCAGCTCAGCCCACCAGGGGGCGGGGCAGGCTGGCATGTGGTGCTGGGGGATTGAACCGCAGTCCCTGATGCTTTGCTAAGCTAGTTCCAAGTAGGTGCTTTAGACCAGTGAGCCATCTCTCCAGCCCCACATTTCTTGTTATATAAGTCTTGCTTTATCTTGGTCTTAACCATCCAGCAGAAAAGTATAAAAACGAAGTATAAAAAGTAAAGCTATATTAATATGCTGAGCTGTAAAAGGCTCAAGTCAACAACTTCTGACATTGCCAGTCTTATGGAAAACCTGTAAGATTTATGGACTATTTATGGACTATTACAGACTACTGGACTATACTGGGATATTTTGCTAAATCACACACCTGTGATATTTAAATGACAACGGAATACCCTTTTCTGACAAAACTAAACAAAAAAAGGGGATACAAATGAACATTCATTTTGTATTGTATATTCAAAATAGTTACGATAGATACACAGCTACATTCTCTTAATTCAGTGAATAGAAAGATTTGTTCTAATAGTGTTTGTGGACAGGATACCATGTCTGCATCTTGTATAATGAGTAACCACTATGACAACAATATGCAATGTACTAAGTATTGAAACTGTCCTAGTAATTGGTTTTGAAACTGTCTCATTGATACTTGTTTCTCAATAAAATTTTAAAAGAGGATTTTAAGAAATATTTTTCTTTTCCCCTGTATCTAGGGTAGGGTCTATAGGGCTTATATGGTCTAACTACAGAGATCAGACTTGTAGTGATTCTCCTGTTTTCAACCTCCCAAGAGCTGGGATTATGGGCGGATGCCACCATGACCAGTCTCAACCACTGGCTCAGCACATCCCGAGGGTGAGGCTGGCACAGCGGGGGATCAAACCCTGAAAGCTGTGCTCTGCCTAAGCAGGTGCTTTAGTCCACTGAGCTGTCAGTCAGGCTGGCCCCAAGAAATAATTTTCAAACCAAGAATTCATCAGATGAAAGATCTTCACTTTAAACATCAAGAAAAAGAATACACTTACAACACAGAAAAAAACAAGGATATGATTATTAGGAGTTTCACAAGGGATCTAGAAGACATAAAATACCAAATGTTTTAAAACAAGGAAAAACACAGCAAGGTGAGACAATATTTATATTAGCAATAAAACGATCTGAAGAGTTGATACCTTACTGAGTTCCAAACTGGTCACATTGTTAACCACACAATAAATATTAAAACAGCATACTTCCTATGCAAGATTCACCATAACTGAGTAAAATCAGAAATAAACAACAAAAATAATCTTCATTTCTTTGAAACTTTAACAAATGACTTCTGGATAGAAATAAAGAATAAAAGGAAGGAAGAAAGGAAGGAAAGAAAGAAAGAAAGGAGGGAGGGAGGGAGGGAGGAAAGGAGGGGGAGGGAGGGAGGAAAGGAAAAGAAAGAAGCAGGAAAGCAGGCAGAGAGGGTTACCATATCCTTAGAAAGCAACGTAAAATCCCTTCCTTTTGAAATTTAAGTATAAAGCTAAACCAGGAAAAGATAAACATCCTTAAATATATCAATACTAAAAATAAAACTTTTAAAGATGTAAAAAAATAACAGTAGCTGAAGTGGTCATGTATGCCTATAATCTCAGAACTTGGGCAGCTGGGGCAGGAGAACCTCAACAAATCTGAGGTCAACATGGGCTACAAAGTGAGTTCAAGGATATTCGAACTCCACAGCAAGACATTATCTCAAAAAAAATCCCTGAAAGAGCTGGCCAGATAGCTCAGTGGACTACAGTGCCTGCTTAGGCAGAGTGCAGTGGCCAGGGTTCCATCCCCCTGGGTGCGATGCTAGCCCCACCCCCAAGGTGCGCTGAGACGGAGTGGTGGTGCACACCTGTAATCCTAGCTCTTGGGAGGCTGAAAACAGGAGAATCACTACAAGTCCGATCTAGTAGTGAGACCTTGAACACCCAAGACCCTGTATCAAATACATTAAAAAAAACCCTGAAATCTTTTTCATGTATCTTCTTTTTCACATTCCTAGAGTTTAATCCTTCATTATCTTAGCTATTTAAACAAATCAAACTATTTACTTTATTCGTACTGTCACTCTTTCCTATTACCCCTTTCTTCGTATGAAAACAAATCATGCTAATTACCTACTAATATCTTGAATAATTTGTTTTAACAACCAAATGAATACCAAACCAAACCAAACCATTCAAGACTCACTTGAATCTCATCCTAAACTAACCGCCCACTACTCATTTGCTCAAAAATTATGTGCTTTTTTTGTGACACACAATCGAGTAGCCAGACATACCAGTTAGAGCACTTGGCTACTGTGACACAACAGTGAAAAGAAACTACCTAGGTTTATGCAGTCTACATTCTAATTGGGGGAATGGAGAGAGGGAAAGAGAAAAAAATATATACTAAGTACATTATACAATATATATAAAGAAAATCTGTTATGGAAAAGAGAAGTAAAATAAATGTAGAGATAGCAATTTCTTTTTTTTTAAAATGTGTTTGGGGGTTTTTTTGGTGCAGGGTTTCACTAGGCAGCTTGGACTCATAGTGATCCTTTTGATTTCTGCCTCCCTAGTGCTGAGAGTACAGGCATGTGCCACCACACCCAGCCTCCATTGCCAGCTCATGCATCTGGGGGCAGGGCCGGCACGGCATATGGCGCCAGGGATCGAACTCTGGCCCCTGCGCTTGCCTAAGCAATCACTTAGTCTGCTAAGCTATACCACTGGCCCCTTGCAATTTTCAAACAGCATGGCTAGGGTAGCTCTCTGAAGTAACACTATACAGACTTAAAGGTGACAGGGACATCAGCCACTGGGACTTCTGGGGAAAATGCTGTCTTCCATCCTGTGTAAAGAATATGGGGTGAGAACGTGAGCCTTTTATGTTCCCAAACAGTGAGGAGGCTGGCATGCCTGCTGCAAAGGAAAAGAGGGTGAGAACAGGCAGGCAGAAGAGGGAAGGGAGAGAGGAAAAGGGCTAGGGTTGCAGATCCGCGCTCACTGAGCCTGAGCTCACTCACATACATGTTAACTTTTACTGTGAATGTTATGGGGACTGTGATTGACACTGTGACAACTTCTGCATGCCATCCTTTTCATACTCTTATGACAACATACTCTTAAGACTTTAGGGTAGTGACTCTACCAGAGCACAGTTTAAAGATCAATTATTTGCATTTAAAAATTTTATCTAGACTCAAATCATTTAGAAGAGATCTTATTTTTATAATTATTCCCTAAATTGTCTAACACAGTGCTTTGTGAAGTAAAGGTCCAAAACAAAGTACTGAAATTTTAAAAACCTGAAGTCAGCATTATAAAAATCTTAATTTAAACAGTATGTGGCAGAGATAAATTAATTTTAACATGATTATGTTACTTTAATACTGAGACTTTATCCTATCCTAAAAATTTTTTATACTTGGGCTACACAGGAGGGAATGCAGAGAAGTTCAGGTTTTTACAAAAACACATACTCTAAAGTATCTTATATACTTACTTGGGGGAAAGCACCGGAGGACTGACAAAAGACCGAAGGGCATCTTTAACCATGTCTTGCATGAGATGAGTTCCAAAGACCTTTTTGTTATCCACCAGGAAAGTGGTCTTAAAGCAAGTATTACACATCACTTTAGTTATGTATATGTTAGTAATACTGCAAGTAATATTATCATTATTGAGGCATAAACATGCTACAGTAAATATAAATACTACAGAATTGTAATACAAATTGTTGGAAATTTTTTATAATTTATCCACATGCATACAGTTTATTAATCCTTGTTTAAGGCAAAATGCAATGCAAGGAAACAAAAAATATACAGAAATAAAAATCTCAAGTAGCTGCAAGAACTAAAGAAGTCAATCAACTGACTAAATACCTCAAATGTGTTAACATGTATGCAAAGGTTTTATACATGATAAAACATCATGTGGATACATACATACATATATATGTAATTCCATAATAGTTTTGTTATTTTGAAGTTTTAAGGATCAAACTCTTAGGTCTTGTGTATACTAGCAATTGCTTTGTAATACTAATTTCTGAAAGTGGAAAAAATACACTTTAAAGTTTGTATTTGATAATAATTTGCATTTAATTTCCTCCCCTTAACAATTCCACAGCATTTCAATATTAATATAAAGGCCTTGAATTTCTAATACTGTAAGTGTACATAAAGTAAAATACAGAGTTTATGTTGTACAGCTCTTAAATTATCGTAAGTGCATGGTTTACCTATTACCATACTCAAGACACAAAATTACTAAATGACCAAAACATTTCATATACGAGCCTTCTGAAGCAAAAGCCTTTGCACAAATAATTAGAAGTGTCTCAGATCACCAAATGAGACAACTTAGATGTTCTCAAGGTGCTGCATGGATACAATATGGACAACAGACTAATAGCTCAAAAATACAAAGAAATGAAGTACAGTGTTGATATGCAAGTCATTCTCTGCCAGTACACAATGTGAAAGAATCCAAACTAAAAACTGTTCGATTTCATCCTAATAATGTTCTGAAAATGGCAAAATGATAGCATCAAAGAGCGTATCAGTGTTGCCTGAAGGCTCCGTAGAACATCAGATTTCCTTTTCTTGAATAAACAATGAGGAGTATATTTTGCATGTTTAATTTTTTTTGGCATGTTTAATTTTATAAGAATCTGATTATTTTTTAAAGTGGCTGAACCACACTTCACAACACCAAGACAGATTTTTTAAAAACCATTTTCTACAAGATGGATAGTATTTCATTGTAATTTAATATGTATTTTACTAATACCACGCTGAACATTTTTTCATAATTTCAAATCTTTTGTCCATTTTAAAAATTAATGTATTTCTCTTGTGTTCTAAATACAATCCTATGTGTCAAACATATAATTTATAAATATTTTCGACTACTTTGCAGCATCTCTTCTTTAGCTGACAGGGAGTTTTGTATTTTTAGAAGGTTTTGAACTGTGAATTCACTATTTAATGGATATACGATTATTCAAGTT